TGTATACAATTTATCAAGAGCCTGCGGCTATATAATTATAACTTTAGACATTTTATAGCATTATGCTTCAAGTTCAAGGTACCGCCACCTCATCCAGTGAGGGCTTTGCCTCAGACAGTAAAAATTAATAACATATATACTAATATGCAACAGATTTTATACGTATTTCAAAAGAAAAATCTGAATAACAAGCATAGAGGATGGTCCCGATATCACATGTAAGATATAAATTGTATATTTCTAGCTATGTTATTTAAGATCTAATTGAAAATCTGCAGTAGAAATGAGTTCTTAAAGCACCAAAAGTCTTCCAGTCAATATTCACTTGATAACCCATTTACTCAACGGAAATAAACACAGGACTTTCAATTTTTCAAGAGAGAAATTCTGCCGTGATTTTGTGTACGAGTTTGGCTAGGGACCCTTTGGCATAAATATAAAGACAACCACAACTTTCATCCATCATGGAAGTAGGTGGTTTTCTCCTGCGATTACTTCCCTCAATAACCATATGAAAAGTTATCTAGGTAGATAATTAACCCACCATATTGACGGGAAGGATCTGCGAATGAACATTTGATTCATCCACATTTCTTACAAGATTGGGCCACTTATTTGGCCCTTTTCATTTTTTTTTTTTTTTTTTTGGGAAAAAACATTTTTTTGAATAGTGAATTTTTGAAGAATATGTCATTGAAAATGAATGTAGACAAAAAAGTATTGAAAAAATGAAAAACAAGAAATTATTAAACAGTTTTCACACTCATCAGACTGCTTGTCGTCCTGCCTGTGTATGTTGATCTCTCCGTGCCACGGGGTTTTATCAAATACCCAAGTACGTAAAAATTACACTGTTGCCAAACAAAGACCAACTCAAACTTATTGCAACACAACTATCAACAATTTTCGAGAACGAACTTGAATTCACTATTTTCTCAACTTCAAGAATCTTTTTTTTGGCTCAAGATGGGAGGAACACCTTCTGATGTCCTCAATACCCTTCCTGGTGATTTGGTAAGGTGGGTAGACATTATTATGCAATATTACGAAGAAACATAAGTTAAAATCTTATCTTGTATATATTGCTCAACTCTATTTAGTAGTGCATACCGAACATACACTTGACGTTTTAATACATATTTCACACGGAACAACCATGTTAGCTAGTCTAAGCAAATTCTCCGGAGGTAAGTAAGGTTTCAAATGAATACATGCTTCACGCATCACTTGCAGTAGGAACGGTGCCGTATCGTTCTCACTTATATCTATAGTTTGTGAACCAGGCGAATAATCACCAACCTTTATATGTTTCACCCAATCATAAATTCGTTCCGTTGATGTACAGAAATCCGACGCCACAGATTCTGCTACTTTTCCCCAGCTGGTTTCTGAAAGGAGAGACGAAAGGGTGACGGGCAGATCACTCAACACACTGACTTGATCAATAATCAGGACGGTCATATATTTACAACAGCCACCACATAGTAGACCAAGAAACCGCAGAGCCTGTGGATTACAAAAGTGGAAAAATAAGTAACTGTTAGCTAGATGAAGATCATAATAATAACCCTAGGACTTGTGAAGATATTGGCTGCCCAATCGTAAAGGAAGGGAAAATTGCAATTCAAACGAAAGGCAAAGACAACATTTAAGTACCCCAGACTTCCAGCCAGTCTGACTAAATTTTGGGAGCTTTCACTATTCTTAATAACAGATCAGACTGCATCTTTTTTTTTAAAAGGTACATTATCCACAGATATATTAATTTTACTTTTGGTGGCGTTTTTGCCACTCTGGTTGGTTCATAACAAAGTGACAATAATTATGACAAACCAGAATAGGACAAAAGCACTAGAAACAATGGTAGCATTAAAAGACTAATATTTCTCTACAAATTGATTGGTGAGTCCTTTCAGAAAATCAAAATGATAAAAGATAAAGTGCAATAGAGATTTTATGGCCCTTTTCAGCATAGAAGAGGATACTGATGAAACAGAAGTGAGGGTACTCTTAAATTCAATAATACATATTTCTCTAAAGCCATTCACTCCAATATATTGAATTATCTTAAAAATAAAGGATCCTTGTTATGCATTCGTCTAGATCTTCATAAAAGTCAGTTTCCGTTGCAACACATATATCTAGATATATACTTAATGCGACAAAAGAAGTGTTTGGTTCATACCGTGGCAGGATAACTTGTAACACAGCTTATTTTCACTGTTTCAATAAGCCATTGAATCCTGGCACTTCCTTCGGCGTGTTGCACTGTAATTGCAACTTCTACAAGAACATCCCAGATAACTGCAAGATTATTATTATTATTATCGTTTTGACAACTAATCATATCGGTATGGCACCAAGGTGTGGCAAAATTGTTTACTGAGCAACTTTGCAGACTAACCTTCAGTTCTAATGCTCAACATATGAGCTTTTAATTTCCAGAGCTCATTCAATGAAATGGCACCGATTCGAACTAGTCTGGCTTTTGCTTGAATCTTCTTCAAAATTTTGATGGTATGGCTGTTCTCTATGAAATTTGCATCGGTAATCTATATGGAGTACAAGATGGCTTAAGTAATGGAATAGATATGAAAATAAACATCAATGAGTGCACAATGTGATGAGATCATGGCCCATAATGACTCCACATTATTAAGTCCATGGATAGATATAAATTATAATAACTTCTGTACATCTCTTCTGGATAGAAAAACAATCACATCATTATAAGACTCCAAGCTTTCTAAGAATTTTCAGCATAATTTCCAGGGGCAGAAACAACTAGGGATGAATGGAACCAGGAAAACATAGAAGAAATGAATAATACCAGAAGAAGATTCAATAACCAGCCTTGTCGAGCCTTCCCAAGGCATCTAATTGCTTCAATCCATTCTGTATTGGAAGTCCCCTTGCATGATCCCGCAGTATCAGCAGAGTATGACCAAGGCAACAGAGTAAAGAGAACCTCCATACAATTTTCTAAGTTAGGTGTGTAATCTTGTGTCTCGGGAAAGGATTCATTCAAGCAAAGGTGTAAACCCTTCCAGCATGAAACCCGTATAGAGATTTTCTGTTCTTGGTTGTACCGGTCAGAAGAAGCAAACCAAGGTAAAAAGGTAGCCAAGTCATCAAAGAGCTTCCCAAGTCTAGAACTAGAGAATATCTTTATCAGGTCTGCCACATGCAAGAGCATAGTTGACTGCAGGTTTGGCTCGAGTGTTTTGAACCTGGCTAGATCAGATAGCTCATCGAGGAAACTGAGAAGTTCATCATATTGGTTTGCATGGGCTAACAAGAACAGTAAACACTCCTCCCTGAGAATTCCTTTCCGAAGGGCTGAATCTGGTGCAAGCAACTGAGAAACTAGACCCTCATATTTCATGCACCGCCCAATTATTGCTCTCCAGTCCAACAATGGTAACCTAGGAGCAAGTGACAAGCAACTCAAAACACTTGCAACTGTGCTTGTACTGGAAGCGACCTGGAATTTAAAGGGCCAAAGAGAAAGGCTGGTCAGAATAAATTTTTGTTTCGCAGATAAAAGAGCATTGGAGTTTCATTGCATATTTCAAACCAAGACCAGGGCATTCACATTAAAATAAAAAATGAAAAAAACCTAGTAACCACATACAAGAATGTAAGATGAAACCAAGATCAAAAGTTAAACTACGCAAATGATGTGCTCCATAAATTGGTCCTCATTTCTCAGGAGCCATTGTTCTTATCACAATGTCAACTATTATAATCGAAGGACAGAATCTACCTCAGGAGAACTCATTTGCATTAGCCATGAAGACAGTTTCATGACCACACTGTCCTCGGAAATACTTTGAGATTGGGACTTTAGATCACGAGAGTCATTATTAATAATGCTTTTCTCATTTGAAAGTTCTCCAGAGAACATGGAATGCCTGAGAAATGACACTGCCCATGCTGCATATTGCTGTAGTTGGGGATCATCAGAATTTTGCGCAACAAGAAATATCTCCTGAATCAATGACGTCACCTTGGGCTCCAAGACAGGATTTGAAATTAGAGGGCCCGTTATGTAAGAAGATTCCTGTTGGATAACAAAGATTCATGAGATAGGCAAATAAAAAATGAGCCATTGTTAACTACTTTTGTACCTAAGAATTTCATTTTGCCCCTTTTCCATTTTTAAATTGATAAGTTTTACAGATATTATTTCCCTTTATGTAGCCTACCAAAAGAAGAAAATCAATGACTGGATGCATTTTGAGATCAACTTTGTGTTCTCTTTCTTTCTCCACTAGTAACAATCTTGTCACAAGACTGTCAGCTAATTAAATTAAATTAAAATTACCGTCTTCCTTTCTGATCTCATATTACTCACTTTAAACCCATTTAATTACCTACTCTCACACTGTTAAAATAGTTCTGTTGTTTCAGTTATATAACACACAAGAACACGAGAAACAATACTAGCTGTTTCACTCTTAAGAAATAAAAATAAAATATACACCAAGAGTAAATTTTGTTTTGGAACCTTTCTAGAGACTGCAGTGTTAAAGGAGGTTAGAGGATGCTGTTGAACCATTGTTCCAGCACCTGCCCCTATTGCATTCACAACTCCAAGCATTCCACCTAGATGAATAAGTGGAGGGTGAGAACTTGAGTAACTTCTTCTAAACAATGTCAGCAAATCTTTAACATGCTTGATTTCTATAGTGTGTAACCCTGCATTCAAAATGCTAGAAAGCAGCCCCCCAGCTCCTACACAAGATGCTGTCAACAAGCTCTGGTGGAAGGCATCAAATCGTTTAACAGACATTAGATCAGAGATGAGATCCCTGAAGCCACTCAGAAGACGGTCCAACTCAGTATTGTCAATAAGTTCTACCCTTTGACAGAAAGACACTACAGTTGGTAGTGCAAGACATGATCCTACCGATAAAAATAACCCACGTGCTTCACTGACAGCAGACTTAGAGACAGGAGAGTTTACATTTTGAATCCACGAAATAAATTGGCCTTTTAAATATAAAACTGCCTCATGGGTCCCGGCTCTGTAAATTGCATCTATAGAATTCCCCAACCCAATGACAAGTCCAGAAATACCCCATATATCTTCCTCCAGATTATCAAAATTCTCATTCTGATATTCAATTATCTTAGGAGAATCAAAGTCATTGGTTCCAAGTGGAAAGCATGCAGATAGGTTTTTAAGAATATCAACTGAAAAGCCAGCAAACCGACATATCATAAGAAGCATGGTCCTAACAATCTTTTTTAATAAATCAGTTTCTTTCATTTTCCGTGTCTCTTTGTCCTGAAAATTCTCTTCAGCATCAACCCTGGTTAGAAGATCTTGAGATGAAAAACCCAATCCAACCCCACAAGCTCCTTTTACAAGGGTGCTCTTGCTAAGTGATGCAACCTGTAAAAGAACATACCAAGAGGTAGTTATTGTATTTGCCTCTTACAAAAAATAAGCGATCTGTTAACAAATACAGCAGTGTTTATATTGCTTCAATCTCAAAAGAGTACACCATCACTTAGAAAACATGAATTAGACACCAATTGCATCAAAAAATTAGAATAATACTTGTATAAGAGGGTAATAGCTCTGAAGTTTATAATTCAGAAAAAGAGAGCATGCTAACAGTCAAATATGAAATGTGTAAACTGCACTCTGAGGTCCTAGCAGCATATTAAATAGTTCTGAGAATAATGGAAAACCAACAAAAAAAGAAAAAGAAAGAAGAAAAAGAAAAAAGAAGAAGAATTGAAAAACTAATTGATGTCGGTTTCCAATTTGCAAAGTTACACTAACTATCAAACCTCATACCTCAATAAGTGTATTTATAATCTCAAACTTCAGTTTGTGATCAGTCACGTGCAAGCAACTTGAGATCAACCCAAGAGAAATTGCGGCTGACCACTGGCGACATTCATGCTCATACTGAAACAGCCAAACCAGCAGGAACTTTGAAGCAGACGACTTCACAACATGTGCAGAAGCTGGCAGCACCTAAAAATAGCAAAAAGAAAGCAAATATATGTAAATAGGAGGAAGCTAAGTTATACTTACCACAGAACAAAAATTGTCCCACAGCAACTAACTTTTGTCTGTTACATGGAATATGAATTTGTTTCCAAGTTCTCTCTAGAAGTATCTTTCTTCCTGTGATGGAAAATATGAATGTATTTTGGGACAAATAACAATAGTTTAGATTTTATTTGTTAACATGTAAATAGATACTCCCTTTTTAATGAGATTTTGATGTGATTAGGTTTACTAGAAGTTCCCACAGGTTCAAATTTTTTACACGTACAAATTGGGAACTCAGGCTTCGTATGTATACAACTTTGGGAATATTAGACCTAATTTTTCCTCGCAAACTTCTCCTGTTTTCTCTCTCTTCTATTTTCTCCCTTCTCCTCTCTTCTCTCTCCTACTTTCTTTTTCCCGCTCCTCATAACCCTACCTCTCTTTTGTTTCTGTCACATAGATTTAACCTCAGTCTTCCTTCTTCTACTTCTCTTTCATTTCTTACCAACTCTTGCTTTTCCGAGAAGTATTCAAATAAGCCAGAACTAAGGAGAGGATTCATGAAGAAATTTTACCTTAGCTTGGTTTGCAGCTTGATTGTGATTCAGAACTCGTATTCTGATGTTTTTATCCACAAATCCACATACAGTTAAATATTTATAACCAAAATTATCTTTCTGGCTCTTTATACACCATTCAGATTGCATTATTCCCAACTCCTTTATGTAAGCAGAATTTTAAGCATCTTATCTCCTTCCCTAATTTTCCTGGACTTTCTCTACTCCTCTCTGTGTTGATCCTAATTGATTTAGCAGCTCTGACCATTTCAAGCATTCGAGGAATTAAGAGGAGACTAAAATTCAAAGACCAAACCACCCCCGCCCCCCAAAGGTCTTAAAAACCCAATTGATGTAATTAATACATGCCATTTATTCAAGAAACACATATTTGAAGGAGAAACAAGCATTAGGAAGGAATATATTGACCCCAAAGGAGCTGCAAACGCATCTGTGCTTAGTTTAGTTTCTGCTATGCTGAGGAACATAACAAGCATTATCCATATGGACAAACATTCAGCATAAAATGGTGGTAACAATATACAACTTATGCATGATTTACCAAACAAAAAGCCCCAAGAGCCAGAGCCATATTCTCAGCAGATCTAGGGATAGATTCTTCTGCTGTCTGTCTTATAACCTGCATTATAATGAAGAAAAAATTACACTGATAAACATTAACATTTCAATGTCTTCAGTGAACCATACACACATAAGAAGCATACTGAACCTTCAAAATATCATTAGCAGCTTTCGAAGTTCTATCTAATACAGTGTAATGCGAATTAGCATCAAGCAGGATGATGCAAGACCTCATCCATCTTTGCATAAAAGCTTTCCATGATTGCAATGAGAGTAGAGCTACCAAAATATTTCTCGAGAGCTGAAGAGATGCAGCTATTTCCACCATGGCATCCTTGTATTTACTGTGCACATATTGTAATCCCTGTACACTAAAAATGGATGAGTAAAAGCCCAGCAACCCCTAGAAATAATTTCCAACATAATATAAAGATAGAATCATCTCACCTTTGACATTCCTCTGTTCGTATCTTTTTGAGAAAATGAAAGACAAAATAAAGCTGCACCAGGGAATTCTCTAGCTCTGCTGTTACTTCCTGCAAATGAAATGAGCTTATGATCGTAAGGTGTTGTAAATATAATAAACATGCCCATCTTATCATATACTTGAGAATCAACTACTACGTAAATGCTAAATTAATACATATGATCAAAATCACATCAAAGGTTGTACGTGTGATCATCTTTGTCAATTTTTGTTCTCATTAAAAATGCAATTTTCATTTCAGCCCATTCCCGTTCTCTCAACATCACTGGAAATCTTTAGATTATGACTCACAGTCATCATTCATCAGCCTTAATGAAAAGTGCAGGGTAAATTTTAGATCCCTGAATCTATGTGCAAAAGTACCTTTATTTGAAATTATTTTGTCAGGTGATGCACGAAGATGAATAAAATGTATCATTTCTTAGGTAATAACTGATTATAAAACATAGAGAAGCAATACTACCTGAAGTAAAAATAACCTGAGGGAAAACATTTAACAACTTCTCAATCTTGTTTGCAGAGACCCTTTTTTGCTTTACAAATCTTCGTCTTGTACTGGAAAAACAATGAAGAAGATCAACTTTGACATATTCAAAAATTCTTTCAAAAGCAGATGGATGTAGAAAATAATGCTTCTTCACATGTGCTCATAATTTATGATTTTGACTTCAAATTCTTCCAATGCCTTCAGTACTTCAGGGTCAGTCTCAGAAGTAAACAATTCCATGTTCCTATTCTTGAAATCTGGTATGCTTCTATGAATATGCATTACCTGACAAAAAATTTCATATTGGAAGATAAAACAAAAATAAACCAACGAGAAAACAAATGCTGAAAGGTAGAAATTGATTATTGATATCAAGAATGAGTCTCTACAAGTTCATATATCACAGCTCTACTACTTTTAAGGGACCTTGGGTGACTATATACAACTTCCCTATCAGTTATATGTTTTGACTTTTACGTCTCTGTGTGGAGGGGGAGGGAGAGAGAGGGAGAGGGTCTTTTAACAATAAGACCTTTTCACAAGAACTACCTCGTAATGCAATAATGCCATGAAGGCAGCCGCTCGAGTTCTTGTCCATAAAGAACCCTGACCGACATGTCTGTCACTTCCAATTTCCCACAATATTTTCAGCACATTCGAAGAAACTTCTGGGTGTGCTTCAGCGTCCATTGAACCCCATCTTAAAAGATGACACAGCCTAGTAAGGAAAAGTGAAAAATTTAGAAGTGGACTTTTTTGAGAGATAAGAGATAGATGCATGTATGTGTTGATGTTTGAGACCAGGCCAAAGCAGCAAAAAGCCACACACAAAATAAAACGTGCATACTTACCCATGAGCAATAGTGGCATTTTCAAAGTAGTTCGGCACGTGCTTTGCAATCACATCCCATGCAGTATAAAAGTCTGAACCATGTTTATAGGATCCATCAGTTTCAAAGTATAAAAGAATCACTGCCAAAAAAGTTCTCGCGATTCATATCATTAAATATCGGGTTCTTATAAATAAACTGTGACTTTGCAGCATTTGTCTTGCCCGGAAGATTTTAAGCAAGATGTCAGATAATAGCAAGCATGAATATCTCCTTACCAAGATTGCCTATAGATATTTAAGAAAGAATGTTGAACTATTCATGTTATGGGTCAAGGTTTTGGACAAGATCCAAGAGGATAATGGGGTAATACATGAGAACTCCTCTCTCTCTCTCTCTCTCTAACAAAACTATTGATTGATTCTTTATAGAACTTGTTTTAATTGACAAACAACATAAAAATATTTTCATAGAAAACTTAGAACAGTGTTGGCAGATTACCATTTTCTCCATTCCAAATTCACAACTTCAGTCAAATATAACTTTATCTTTTGACCAAAGGAATCACATTTGAAGGAAGGTTTCAGGCATTTCAAAACCGACGAATATCTTGCTGATATGGACCAGCAGAAAAATCTACATAACATGATACATGACAGACAGGTCTGTTCAGTTTGAAGCAACATGGAACAAAGGTATTTCAAGCAAAAGCAAAAATGTCAAAAGGCATACAAAAGAAAATTGAAAAAACACAGTATCTCAATACATCATAATACTATACATTTTTACCGAATGAAACTAAAATATCAATGTAATGTCTTGTTTGAAAGAGAAACGTGTCTGATTTTAGGTTGCAGTGAAACAACTTGAATTACTGAACATGTATATTAAGTGTTTAGAATAATGAATGCATAAAGCAAAGGATTACCAATTACATCTGCCTCACAAAGATGGGCAACGCTTTGGAGTCCAAGAGTCTGAACTAAATGATCTTGGTTCTCTATGCAGGCCTGTTGACTAAAATAGAGTAATAAAGAGCTGGAACAGCGTGCATATGAAACATAGAGAACACAAATAGAGCATACCGCTACACTTAAAATAAGGTCAACTCCCCTATCTGGGTTTCTTCGGCAAACATCCTGAATGGAAACAGCAATACTAACGCAGATTTCTCTGTCAGATGAGAACTCACTCAATCCTTTTGGCGCTAATACTCCCTAAAACCCACAAGGAAGAATAATAGACAACCATTAAGGAAAAATATCTGACATAGCTAGGGACGAAAAAACCCAAAGATTAGGCATGGATAATACTATAGCATTTAAATTGTCCACATTTCTGATCCAGATATCAGATTTTCAAACTACATACCACTAACTTGAATTGAAAATTTTATATAGTAAAAGAAAAACCTAAATGAGATCAAAGTAAAAGACCAATAAATATTCCGAACTGCTTAAACCAATGCATGGAGCATGTATGAAAAAAATACACACAAAAAGACTTGAACAACCTTCTAATTCTCTGTTAATTCAGTTAAGAATACCAGAGAAATTACCAACAAACCTCGTTGATTTGCATAGAATAACAAGAACATAGAAAAAAATTAAAAAACCTTTTATTAAATATATCCCACGAAACGGCTGCTAGATAGCTGTATTTAGACAAATGACAAAGCAATTACTGATGAGATTAATATCACACAGAACTCTCGTGTTTTTTTATAGCATTTCTTATAGTTTCTTGTTTTATTTCACAACAACTTATTAATTCTCCCTTCCTGCGTGGGTGTTTTGTGAAACATGGGCAGTGGCAGCAGGAGAGTTATAATTTAAATTATTCGCTTGTAATTTCCAAATCATCATTTTTACATTTAATAGACATGAAACAGCAACCTTGTGTCAGGCTACGAAGTAAAAACATAAAAACATTACCTGCAAACTCCCAAAGACGCGGTCATTGATCTCCCAGGTCTTACAAATCAAACGCGTTGCGGTAGCATATAGAACACTGAGAAATCAACAAATAACATTAAGACAATAACTTATCCATGAGCAATGCAGTAAGGCTACTGTACCACAGGTCAACAGCAAAAAAAAAAAATCTTTCAATTTACTTATCCCAAAAACAGAGAGAGAGAGAGAGAGAGAGAGTTATATCAACAAGAATACAGAACAGATCAAGTTGCAGAATGACCACCAAACAGTGTCACTATGTCTGCTCCAGAAATATAAAACTTCATTGGAAAGTGCACATTTGCAATTTCTTGGCCAGACCAACAAAGCTATTTACTTCTTTCTTATCTGTATGGAATATAGAAATCGAAAGAGAGTTTAAAACGTCATTGTATGATGAAAACACATTAACAGTCTTATCACTACTTGAAGATCTCACTGTAAAAGTTATTCCTTTTGTCCATTTCTCTAAACTTGGAAAGACTGAAAACAACAGAAATTGCTCAGACACCGTATCGGAAAATCTAAGCAGCTCATCAAAGATAAGCAGTTCAGAAATCTACAAAGTATGAAGCACAGAAGAGCCAAAACACGAGCACAATGACACGTGATTTAATTTAATTTTTTATTTTTTTGAAGTAGGATTGGACACATCAGGGACATATTGATTCAAATAATATAAAATCAAATTTCTTGTTTTTTCATTTTCTGTTTCTTTATACATAATTCTTAGATTTCTATGAGTCGGCAACTAAAGAATAATTGGGTTGTTGGGCCAACATATTTCCACTACAAATGTGGCTCTCAACAAACCATTGAACAAGTCTTCTAAAGTTAAATTTATTGGCTCACAGCTGGACACCAATAAGATTTTTATCGTCCCTATTTCCACAGAAGATTCCTTGTCCAGAATGCTCCCCATCTTCACCCATCTCTCTCTTCTCCCCTCATCCCCATTCCCTCTTCATTCTTCACCTGTCTCTTCCTCTTCCACTTTCTTCATGTCTAGAATCTTCTCTCTTCCCCCTCTTGACATAGAACACAATCAAACAAGAACAAGATTGAGAAAGAAAGAGAAGAAGAGGGAGAAAATAAAGAGAATTTAGAGGGAAAAAAATATCAATTTATTCAATATCAAAGTCTATCTATAAGTAGGAAAATACTAGAAAACCTATTAAATAAAATCCTAATTATGTTTCCTAAAATAAGTATCTAATTTGAAAAGTAAACAACTGATAAGACTAGAAAATCTATTAAATAAAACCCATTTACTAAAATAAATATCCAATTTGAAAAGTAAATTATTTGATACCTTTGTTCTATATTAGATACCCATCATTTTTCTTGGGCTGAGAGAATTCAACTCTGACAAGATAAACTACAACTTCATTCTCAAAGGAGGGTGATCTTTTGTCCTAACCAAGTATTGGTACTAAACTTTGGACAGCAACATACGGCTTAACTCATACCAAGGGGTCGATCTTCCTCCTCGCCAATTTGGCCTACCTTTTCCTTGTCTCGTCAACTTTCTCGGATCGCTTGCTAATAGATAGAAGGCTAATTTGTTTGATCCATGTATGTTTGTCCTTATTTATTTTGTTGAAATTATAAAACTGTTCATATATTGTTTGGAAGATTTTCTTTGCAATTTCTCCTAATATTTCAATAAAACGTATCAGTAGCATGCAGGCTTCATGTATGTAGGGGAAAAAAGGAACAGCACGTCAGTAATCAGTATCTGTGTCAGTGTCCATGAGTGTCTGACACCAAGACGTTGGACCTGTCAGTGTATCATTGCTTCTTATGTATTATGGCAACTTTGGGGATTTATACTATGCAGCACAAAGCATGTATTTCTCAAAAAAGGCAATGCTGATATGAATTTTTTGTCAGAATCATAAAGATATCTCATGTTTATATACATATTTAAGAAACTTTCCATGGATTAGCATTAAACTATTGTGCATGTAAAAAGTCAGATACATGGTGGTGCCCACAAGTCCCCTTAAACACACCCTCACATCTAATTCATGTATCATGGGGTATATATAACCAACCAAGTAGATAATTAACCACACAAAATATGAGTTTTGTAGAGAACATACGGCTTTGCACCCTTGTGAAGCATTGGCATTATAGTCTGAACAATTAGTGGTATCATAACAGGATGTGAAGCCAATGATGGAAGCAAGCCCCAGAGTTTTAGCTGCAGCAATAGTTCAGAAATGTTTTCACTAGATGTTACTGGCACATGAAAATGAATGAGAAAAGTATAACTCAGAATTGATGTACATGAGAAGTATGCACCCAAAAGCACCCATGTGCACATGAACTAAAGAATGCATGAAGTCTAAGCTCGCAGCAATAATCTAAAACTCACCAGCATGTCATGAAAATCAATTTCTTTATCATTACTCAAGAATATATGATTGTAGAATAGAGCGAGTAGCAACAAAGGGACACCAAGTTTAGGTTCCACATTGTTACAAACAGCCAAGAGATCAACTACAGAGTTCCTCAACTTTTGATGCATGAGCAAGACACTACCTACTGCACAGAGTATAGCAGGCATTTCTGCAAGGACAAAATGGATAGCAGATTAATCACATGAAATGAAATGTAGCAAGAATAATACTCTAATCTCAGAAACTTAATGGAAAAGCGTAAAGAGTTTTACCTGTCAAAAAGATTTCCTCTGACTGAGAAATGATTGAAGCGGATTTACGCTTCCCAACAATTCCAAGGGAGTATTCCTTTAGGGAAGAAGGCCATGTTCTTCCTGTGCAATGCTCTTCTTTAACATAGAGTTCATTGGTGGAAGAAAAATTAACATAGTAAGAACCAAAAGTTGAAGATTGATCCTGCAAAAAGGCAAAGTGATGCGGAAGCTGTAACATCATCGAGTGCTTGTTTTTCGTGACTATCATGTTTATCTAGATTAATTGCACTAACAATATATTTACTGTTTAATTAATATAATTATCTTCGTATGTACTATGTTATTATAGGGGAATGTACCTTGACACACGAGACGATCGACATACATACTAAATTTAATTATAAAATAAGCATAATTTTATTAGAGTTAGGAGCAAATTATGATTTAATGCATTTATTTTAAGTGTGATTTCATCATCTGTTATTCCCTTTTTCTATATAAAACGGACCTAAAGCATCCATTTCTCCATATAAGTCAATTTAATCAATAATTAGTCATTAATCTGGTAATTGAATAAATTAATGGATGCAAAATGTGATTCCCTACTTTATTGTAATTGACAGAAATGAATGTCCTAAAATGGAAAATTGACTTTTCTAATTTGGATACTTTGATTTGCAAAATCAAGTTACACTTTTCCATCTCTCCAATGCTAGTGACGTCCAATGATTACTCCCATTTCTTGTTGTATTATTTGCAAAATGAAAATCACTCATTATCTCTTATGATCATAAATCATACAAACTCTCTCCAGTTCCATGATTATATTATAGTTAAGAAAATTGTTCTAATCATCATTTCAACACCACCGACTTTAAGAAACATGAGCAGTACTCATTCCTCAATAAATAGTGAGGTTAGTTTCTTTTAATTGTTTTATTATATACTTTTTAGAATAATATTTGTCAATATGCTTTTACATATCATGACTCGTTTATCTAAAATGGATATTGATCTTGATGCCAGATGATTACATGTTGATGTTCCTAGCAAATTAAATATTCAGTTTATATTTCATGTTGTACTTGGGATCAATTTAAACAAGAGGAAAATCTTTAAGCTATTAAATCTTTAGTCATATATAGCGGGGTTATAGTCAGGGACATTTTTTTATGTTTCTACTATTTCAGAGATTTCTATGTTAATTCCTCTAGCAATTTAATTCACAGAATTTAATCATTTTAAGTTTATCTTATCTTGACCCGAATAAATGATTCAATATATTGTTCGTTTAAAAGTAGCGTTACTCAAATTAATAGTTCATACGAATAATAAATCTTAACTAGGAGAGAAGATGAAGTTGCCTAAATACTTAATTTTAGGGGGTATAGTTCCTAGTTCTTGATTAAAGAAAAGCATTGATGCTTAATTAGTTAAACTTCATTATGCTAATAATAATGAATCAAACAATATCAATTGGGCCGAAGGCATTGTTACACAGTTTCATTCTGGTCTTTGTTGATTCATAGCATTTTCTATTTCCATAATGTTTTGTATATATGAAATATTATTGAACCAAACTTGCACTAATTCAAGAGCATAATTTGTTAGAAATTTAAAGGAAATAGCCCCTTTTGGTATATCTTAATTTTGTTTATATTTTATCGACGTGATTAATGTAACATTGTTAAACATATTGATGTTCTTATATTTATAGTGCATAAATTAAAATAAAATAACATAATAGAAAATAGTGTGATATTATATTTAAGATGTGTACATGATTAAAAATAAATAATGAGTATGCTCAAGTTCTCAAATGAATGGCAATGATATAGGACTCATGGTACGTTGTTGTCAACAGCTAGGGACATATTCATTTGCCATTCCCAAAATAAATAAATAAATAAAGTAAAATAAAATAGAATAAAATTATCAAGGACTTAAGGTAAGTAAACATCCCCTTGTCTTCATGCTATGTTGCATACGTTAGAACATTAAATGTATAAATGTCTTACCTAAAATTGTTATTTTGTGGACTTCGTATTTGATTATTACGTTTTATGTTATTAATGTTTCTCATGACATACTCATGCACGTCAATGCATTCATAAGTATGCATGAAGTTTCAAAAAATCAAAAGTTTCCAAATGTCCATAAATGTTTTTATTACGAGGTGTATATCTATGCCATGAAAGGTATGAGTGGGAAATGGGGTGTCGGGTACCGGCGCACCCAACCAATGTTCAATGATAATGATAATGTTAACCACTTTGCGGTACTACTCATAGGAAGAATCAGGTTCCAAATAATAATTATCCACTGCATTTTGATTAGCTAGGCGATACACCAAGTGAGCTCATGATGTCAACGTTAAGATTTTTCAAGAAACGAATGAGACAAGCGATTCATATTAAGATATTTTTATTTTAAAGTAATTCATATGCATATCATAAGCATGTATCATATACATGATGTTTGCTTACTAAGCGTTAGTTTATTCCACGTTATTCCTCCTCATTTTTAGATAAAAAGGCAAGATGATTCGAGATGACGACTTGTGCTGACACGGACTCAGTATTATCACATTTAAATATTGAATTCGTTTTGTAAATAAAGTTAAAATTCAATTTAATTGTCTTAGATTTTTATTAAGCACAAATTATTTTAAAATAATAAGTCATTGATGGTTATTAATGTGAAGAAAAAATTAAATCTTTTCCGCATTTATATGATTTTAAAAGAAAATTAAATGATAATACTTCAATTGGTTTCTTGAAAACAAGAAAATTTGAAAATATAAAAGTTTGTAAGAAAATATTTTGATTGTATTGAAATTGATGATTGAAAAAGTGTAAAGGCCTATATTTATATGGGCAAAATTAACTCCCTAAACATAATGACTAAAGTAATTAAAATCCTAGGAGTGAAAATAAAATCATATTCTAATCAAGAAAGAAAGAAAAAGAGGAAAATCTTGAAGTCCTTATGAAATAAATAAATAAATATAACCAAAAATGATAAGAGATAAGCTTCACTAAAACAAACTAATAAGCCTTATCAAAACAAACTAAATTTACAGCACGAGATAAGTTTCAACAAAACTAACCAATTTTATACATTTACATCTAGATTTCAAGGAATCATAAAAGATCTTATCTTTACAAACTATACTATCCCTAAAAATCATGTAACAATCAAATCATTTTTTTTATTTGATCGAGATTCTCAACAATCCCATCACAACAAGAAATCATATTTGGTACAAATCTATATCGTATTTGTTAAGGGATTGTACCGCATCATTTTCCCCCACTTGAAGAAAACTCGACCTTGAGTTTGTTGTCGAAGAGAATATTCAACTTGGATAGTACTCAAAGATATCCGCAACAATGAATGAAGAAGAAATATCCATATCCACGAGAAGTTCAATATTGTAGGCATCGTCTCCAATTTTCATCAAGATGCGAAACGATCTTATTATATTTGAGTTTACGATACGTTTCGATAGGAAATTATTCTTTCTTTGGTGTAACACAACTAAATCACCCTCGTTGAACAATTTTTTCTGATAATGTTTACTAGTCGTAGCCTTGGTAGTTTAAATTGGGCGGCTACTATGAATTTGATGTACATTTTCAACAAATTCTTCAACTCTAGAACTAATGTCATTGGTTGGAGGAAAATTAAATCTATAGTATGTCGAGGCGCTCGCGTATAATATTATCTTGAAAGGTGCTCATTTAATTGATCGGGTTGCCATACTATTGAAGGCAAATTCAATTTGTGGTAAAGTTGCATCCCACTGTCTAGGCTTATCACCACAAGCACATCGTCATGTTACCAAGTGTGCGATTAGCCACTTTGGTTTAATCATTAGTTTGTGGATGACCAGTAAAGGAGCATTTGTGCTTGGCATTTGGCCCTATTGGTTTTTAGGAACGATGAACAAATCGGCCAACATCCTGCTTGAGTTGAGGTCAAATGAATCGCTCTACTACTAGGCCAATTGTTTTGTCTCATCCAACGGGGTCACCCAGTCCTACAACATGTAGTTCCCGAATTAAATATTCTCGTAAAGAGTAACAAGGAATAGAAAGTTGATTGCCTTTGAAAAGAAATCTATCTTGAAAATGAAAGTAAAAAATAGAGCCCATAGTACTAAAATTGTCCTAAACTTCCCTAAAATCTTCCTTTTATGTACAATTCCTTCAAGCAATAAAAACCAATAATCGTGACAAGGAGGCAAGCATTCTCAATGTATCAGCTACTTTGTTATCTTGGCTGGACTTTTGCTTGATAAAAAATGTGAACTTCTATAGAAATGTGATCCACCATGCATTCATGCATGCGATTCATTCTTTTTAAGAGTTGAGAAACGTCAAAGATTAATGGTCACTAAACATAACATATTCTCTTTGAGCCATGTAATGTTCCCAATGGCTTGGAACTTGAAACAACTATATAAAATTCAAGTCAAAAGTTGTCAACTTCTACCGGTTTCACCTACCTTTTCGTTGAAAAATTCCACTTGCCATTTCTCTTAGGATAATACAATCCCGATGCCTTAAACAAAAGCATTGCATTCTACCTCAAAAACCTTCTCAAAATTTGGCAATGTTAAGACAAGTGCAGTATACAACTTATTGCTAATGAGTTGGAAGCTCTTATGTTGCACTTCGCCCACTGGAACTTACCTTCCTTTAATTAATCAGTGAAAGGACCATATTAGAACTAAATCCCGAATGGAACACGAATAGGAAGTAGTTAAGCCGTGAAAACTTTGCACTTCTCGTATCGTGTGAGGTATTGGCCATTCTCAATTAACCTTTCCCTTGGATGCTTCATCTTGAATTCAATCGGCTTTAACAATAAATCCCAAAAAGAGAAGCTAACTAGCCATGAAACTGTACTTTTGAGGTTAACATACAATTAGTTAGTTCTCATAAGCCATGGGAACCTCTCAAAGATGCATCAGGTAATCTTTATCAAATTAACAATAGATAAAAATATCGTTGAAATAAGCCGCAACGAATTTTCTAATGAATAGTCGAAGGAGCATAAAGATACTGGGGGCATTTTATAATCCAAAAGGTGTCACAAGTCATACATATAAGTTGTCTTTTGTTTTAAATGTTGTTTTCCATTCATCTCTCAGCCATTTAAGAATATGATGGTATTCACTTCACAAATCAAGTTCGAAAAAAACTACCTCCTAACTGTCGAGCATGTCATTTAAGCATGGGATAGGAAATCAATATTTGACAGCAATCTTGTTGGTCGCATGATTGTCCACACATTCTCCAATTGCCGTCCTTCTTTGGAGTAAGCAAAGCAAGAACTGCACAAGAACTCATAATTCCACGTATCAATCCCTTTTTCAATAGTTCATTAATTTGTCATTACAATTCGGCATATTCCATTAGACTCGTATGGTAATGTGGTAGGTTAGACAAGCTACCAAACCAATATAATGTTGTAACAATCTACATGGGTGGTAGCAATCAAGTGGGTGAAGATCAAAAAATTCCATTACAACTATGCAAACCTTGTCATGGATTTCTTGTGCCCATCCGACATGCCTTTAACTACTAGTGCCATCAAAAAATTTAGTTCCTTTACTTAGTCAAAAATTCAAGGCCAAAAACACAAGTGAAGAGTTGTCCTTCGCCTTTAGTAGCACTAATATCATGAGATTGCTTTTGTTTGGGCAGCAAAATGAAGTGTTCTCTCGGCCTTTGTAAGTGGCGTCGACATCGAATTGCTACAATTTTCCCAAAAGGACAAGGAATGAATCCACGTTGACTACATCACATATGATCTCCCTTGCAACACTTCCTACTTGACAAAGGAACTTTGCAAACTTCCATGACCTGAACTTCCAACCTCTCTTAATCCATGCAATATTGTAAAGAGTTAGGTATCTTTCCGTCTTCATATTTAGTGCATTCACCACTGCCGCTGTCAATGTTGTTACATGCTTTTTTGTTGATTGTGCAAGACAAAGACCTTGTAGCATTATCATTATGTTTCCTTGGCGCTAAGAGAAGTCGTTGCACAATACAACTACTATTCCATCATCCCTTATAGTAAATTTATTGCTTTCATAAGTCTCGTGACGCCTCTCAATTTCTTTTTCGTCTTTGGCAAAGTTAATATATCGCCTATTAGGGGAAACATTGGAAAGATGACATGTTTGACCACACTTGTAGCATATGCTAAAGTTCGGCCGTGCATACGGGGTTCGTATTGATCTAAGAGGTTTATTGTTGAATATTACCTCATTTTTGCTTAGTGATTGCTTGTTTATATTGTCCAAAAGTAAAGGTCAGTAGGACACTCCAGTTATCTATCTCATTATTTCCACTTGGTCATTTTGAAGTGGCGGTTAATGTATCTTGACTAGGGCATTAAAATTACTAGGAGCCACTGGTAGATCCAGCACCTGGCAAGCTCCTACGACCACCCGTGCTAGATCTGAAGAAATCATCACTGGGTGTCAAAAAAATCCTAGAAGCTACTCGAATTTGAAGCTTCCTGCCATAGAGAAATTTTTTTCAGCTTGTTTCCATCGCCATGGATGGATGCATCTAGATATAAATAAAATATTATATTTACACCGACATACTAGAGTTGGTTGGAAGTAGAAGATCCACCGCCATGTGAGAACCTTGTAGAAGTGCAGCTCACCGACATTGCTATCTATAAATATAGGCGGTGTATGTATTACACGTGTGAGCATAACGTAAGTGCGCATAGAAGAAAGTGAGGAGAAGAGAAGGGTATGAGATAAAGAGAAAGACAGTGTGCAAGTAGTAGCGTGAGGAGAGAGAGAATTAATATAGAGAGAAGCAAGTGGTGAGAGGTAGCATATATGTTAAGTAGTGGGTAAGAGGAAGGTATATGAGAGAGGAGACTACATAGTGTCACGTGAGTAAAAGTTTAGATGGAAAGTTGATTGAGTGCATTAGTCCTTCAATGAAGTATTAGTTATAGTTAGGGCTGTAAATGGATCGGATCTGCCTATATCCGATCTGATCCGATAAGAAAATTCTCTGATTATATCTGATAATCCCATGGATATTTGATTATTATCCATATCCAATTTACTATGTTATCGGATATCTGATACGATAATCCGATCCGAAATTAATAAAAATTAGGACAAAAATCAAAGTTCTTTAAAAAATTTTGAATTAACTCGAGGTCCACCTATTTTTAATAGCAAGTCCAATAGTGACTTCTACCATCATGATGCTCATTTTTAAAGGAGAGATCATATTCTAGTTTTCTATTGACATTCGATATGGGATAAGGTAAAATTGAATTTCAATTCTAAATATAAATGTTTTATTTCATTATNTTGACCATCTTCCTTTTCTGGGTCGGTGTCCATATGAAATCAACTTTTTTTTTTCAAATTTTCCAATTCTTAAACAGGTTTAATAATTATAATGTTTTCAACTTTTTTATGTTTTGAATTTGATTACTTTTTTATTCTAAATTTATTTATTTTAGTGATAAATAACATGCCATAAAAATATTTTACCGACTCAATTATTTATAACAAATCGGATCGGATTGTTATCGGATCGGATTGGCCTATATCCATATTTCATCAATTTAGTTAACGGATTATCGGATTCGGATCTTGATCGGGTTATCGGACTGAGACCCTAAATCCATCTCCCATTAATTTCGTCGAATTCGGATCAAAATCCAATCCATTGACAGCCTTAATTATAGTCTAGTGTCTATAAGTTATAAGTGAGGTGCTAGAATATTGTGTCCCATTTTCCTTAAAAATAGTGTAATTTTTCATCAATAAAATTATTTCTTTGTTGGTTTAAACTTAACAAGATCCGTCCGGAAAAAAATTTCCCCTCTATCAGGCGGTCGTTCGATGGCCACTTGACACTATGCCCTAGCTCACTTGAGCAGCTGGATCCGCAAGTGCTTGGAGCACGTGTTTAGCTCATGGTGTTTTACTCCAATGTCGATGATATGTGATCGATGTTCCCTCTAGCCTGGCTCAATGGTAGGTGGATCCCTAAGGTTGAGATCTATGTGATCCATCGTAAGGTTAAGTGTTATAAGTTGTGTGCAATTTACTCTTTGGTCGATTAGAAAGAGCCTAAGGTTTTGCACGTAGTCTTTTTCCTCGAGTGATCGTTGTCGCTCATTGTCTTCCAAAGATAGCTCCCTAGAATCTAAGCTACCATGTTCGAGCTTGTCATTAGCTGATTATTTATCTCGAAAATTTTGCATCTCTCCAATGAATGCAGTTAAAGCCCGCTGAACATTGCAAAGGATTTTCTTCCTTCATGTCGTTGCTTAATGGCTTTAAACCTCCGTTTGTCGTGGGTCGTGGGTGATTTTTCCTCTACTTGAACCATCTGTAATCACCCAAGTCAAGTAAAGATCCATGCTATGATACCCATTTTGGTGTGAAAACAGAATTGGTTTTTTGAAAACAAGAAGCAAATTTGAAAAATCTCAAGTTTGTAAGAGAATAATTTTAATTTATTGAAATTGATGATTGAAAAAGTGTACAAGCCTATGTTTATATAAGCAAATTAACTCTCTAATCCTAATGACTAAAGTAATAATAACCTAGGAGTGAGAATAGAATCCTAATCTAACAAGTAGAAGAAATCATATTCTAATCAAGGAAAACAAAGAAGAAATAAAACACTAAATCGTATTACAACAAGAAATCATATTTGGGATAAATCTATATCTTATTTTGTTAAGGGATTTTCCTTCACGAAGTCATCAGCAACTACAAATTAGCCAAAATCCAACATTTTTTATTTTTTTTAATAACCGTAGATGTCCGGGCCAGCTTGCGCACACCTCGTCTAATTCTACGGGGCCCTGAAGTTTACGGCCTGGTACTCACTTCAGTGGCCCTGAGGGAACTCGAACTGGTGACCATTGGGGAGCAAACCCAAGGCCTGACCAATTGAGCAACCCCTCAGGGTTAGCCAAAATCCAACATAAAACATAAAGACGGCAGGGAAGTAGAAAGTAGGTTACCAGTCCAAGTGCTAAGATATATGCATGAACAATCCTAAATGAAGTAAAGTTTCAGAAAAGTGGGTGATCAAACTTTTGATTACTTAATATGGCATATAGTTCAATCCATGAGGTTGAGAGATAAACAAGAAAATTCATTTTAGGACAAGTTTTCTCAAAAGCCTGGCAAAATAATAAAATTAGAGAGCTCAAACCATTGTGTCAAACATATCCTATATCAACATATCCCACTCAAATGGAGATGACAATTAACATAGTTAGAAGCAAACATCCATCACATGAGCACGTTTCATATGGTGAATGATAAAATTAAAGAGCAAAAACAAGTTTCATTTTACATTTTTGATGACATAAAGTTGAAGCTAATTCTCATTTAAAGGATAAGAAACTTAGAAGCCAGCAAAAGAAGTAGAAATAGATTCACGAATTCAAGAAGAAAACATAATATATATGTTTAGGCTTAACAATTGTAGTTATAGATCATTTAAACAAAATGAAAGTACATAGCCATAGATTTTGTGTATAAGATAAATTAACTATACCTGAAACCACAAATTCTGTAGGAGCCTAAATATGATGCATCCAGGCGTAGTAATAAACGGATACAGTCCTTCAACAGCTTGCTTTGCCTTTGGTGCAGTCAGCAAAGTCATTATAGTCTTCCCCAAAACAGAAAGCAAATCAGTTGCTACTTGTTTAACAGATATACATGGAGAGGAAACAAGGTTGACAACAGGGAAAATGAATAAGAGCTCTTCACTCAGCTCATTTGTAGAAGCACCAACATTATATTCTGCCACAGCAAGTAAAACATCATATTTAGCAGTAGGAACAAATTTAGAAATAGCTTAAAAAGATAATCACCCATGGAGCATGTCAAGGAGTGAAAACATTTGGTAATATTTTTAAACATTACAAGATATATGCGCTCGCCGAGTGATTGAAGACACTATAACAAAATCATGGGTAATATTGCAGTTTGTCCAAACTATCATACTTGGGTAAGACCACAATGGATTACAATGTTCATGAAGCAGTAATTGGTTACAATTATGCTACTACACAAAATCATAGAACCACAGCTAGCCGGAACAACAAAGCACTGCCAACTTTACATGCATCACAGTTTTATGCTGGTGGCTTTACCCGTTTGGTGTCACCATTTTACAGGTTATCAAAGCAAAACAAACTGCAGAACAACCGATACAGCTCCAGTAATCATACCATTTTCACTTTTCCATCTCAAAAGATAGAGAACCAGTTTCACAATGGAATATTGTTCATGTTCGAGCTCAGACTGAATGAAAATTATGAACAAGGATAGTATCGCTGATTTCAATTCAGTAATATAATTTAGGCCAAGCTCTCTATGCACAGCCAATAAGCGCCACAATACTTCTAAAATTTTCTCAATGCCACTAGAGTGGTGGCGAAAATCCCCATGTAGAGACAAAATTGCTTCCAGCAGTGCCACACCGCATAATTGAGCTTCTTGAACAAGCTGACAATAGCAGAAACAATAAATAGTTTTTTGTTAAATGCAGTTAACACAGTCAGACAAATAATTAGGTAATGCATATTTGTCCAAGTGATTGATATATAATGAATCGAAACTATACCACTCCCATTCCGACCAACTGCCTCAATACCACCAAATATGCGTCCACCAAACATTCAACAAAATAAGAAACATCTGTAAATTCCTGCAAAAAAAGTAAAGGGTTTCATGGGGGAAAATGAACATTATAGTATAATTTAACAGTTCCTTAAACTTAATGCACCATCATATTTCATAATAGAATATAAGCAATAGATAAACCTATATTTCGCGCAAAAAGATAACTTACTTCTGCATTCTTGCATGTAAAGTATTTGAGACATCCTATCAACAGCTTAAATACAGGGATGGCCTCTTGAGGAAATAAACAACAAAATGACGCAAATGAGGACACTAAGTTCCTCGTGAAGAGAGTATAAGAGCTCGTGATGGAAACTTTTATGATCGAATGATATAAGAAAGGCATCAAGAATTCACAAACATCCTCCAATCCCAAATGCTTGCTCTTCACCATAAAAGTAATAACTTGTTTTGCAAGCTCACAATGCACTTCCACTCCACAAGTAAGTATCTGCAACCATAAACATCAAAATTCATACACTTCATTAACAAATTAACTACACCTAAGTATCAATGATTGAATAGTCTAGATTGCAAGTAACTAAATCATGGGGCTGGTGGGATGCTTAATACAGATGGTGCAATCTGTGTCTGCCATTCTCCAAAGAACTCTTTTTCAAATATTTTGCACGAAAACCCAAAACTTTTCACCTATTAACCACTCATTATACAAAAAAAATCACTATTCCAAAAATCATTTTCCCCAAAAAAAGCTCTTCTTAATGGGCCATCAAACAGGGGCAAAATAACATTGCTTATAAATTAGGAATGCAGTGTGATTAATTATGTTAACCATTTTGACTAAAATCATAATCTTTAGAGAGGGCACATGTATCCATTCAAATTTTGTATTCAACATGCCCCGTCCACTTTTCCCATCAAAGCATGCACAACTTTCAATAGGTGGCGACAAGAGCAGAGCAAGTTTCCGTCTAAAAGTTCAAGCTTTCTTGGAAGAATTAGTTCACCTTCACGAATGGATGAATTTCCGCGGATAAAAAACGGAAGGTAGAGGGATCATTCTGGAAGCCTAATGTCGTTAAAAATCCGATGGCTTTGATGAAGAGATTGATGAAGCGAGAATTGGTGGCTTCGAGGGCGGACTGGAGCTCCAACAACCCAGTTAGCAGGTCCAATTTTGAGTCCTTGACGAGACGACATAATTCTCGAGTCGATTGGTCGACGACAGCGGCAGAGGTGGAGTGGAGGCATCGAGTGATGGCGTCTCGGCCGGGATCGGATCCCGGAGCAAGCCGCGCCGGCGCGGATCGGAGCTTGTCGAATATGGAGATTACGGCGAGTTTTTGGAGCGACGGTTGGGGTACTCGGGTTTTCTCCAATAATGGAGCGTACGAGTCCATTTCTGTCAGGTAGAGTCTCCCGGTCGGAGTATGTTTTAGAGGGTATAAGCAAAAGAAATAGAAAAGTGCGAGTTAGGGCAGTTGCGATTGGAGTGGAGTGGAGTGGTTGATAGAAACGGGAAGCGGAAGCGGAAGCCGAAGCCGCAGTGTTCATGTTGTTATATACAGTGTTTTTGGTAGGGATTTTTGGAGGAAGAATTGATTTTTGAATAGTGATATGATGGGAAATGTGTGGTTGAAAAAGAAGGAAAAGTGATCGATGTGATGGAAAATATTATTTTATTGAAAAATGTGTGGTTAAAAATGAGAATTAATTTACTGTAGAAAATTAGAATCTGTACCAAACAGGCTCATAACACGCTCTTACAATAATATATGATAGCGTAAATATAATAAAAAATTATTTATTTTAAGCATTCGTTATATTAAACTTAAAATACTTGAATGCTATGTGACAAATAATATTAAGAGATTTAATTCAAGATTTATTTTCTAAACTTTGTGTTTGAAAGTCTCTCTATTCTTTTTTTAAAAAAAAGGTATAGATGATTAGGTGTTGATACTCTACTAAAGAGATAATGAAGTTCAACATAATCCTTATTTTTCTACCTATTGAGGTAAGGCATTATGTCACATTCATCTCGTGCTCATAAAATCTCCAATTAAATGTATCGGTTGCACTGGTATTTAATTTCTTTATCAAGACCTTACGCAAGTCGTATGTAGTCAACACTAATTAATTAACGATAATACAATGCAGAATTTAGGACAAATCAAGGGTCTCTATCAGTATTAAAACCACAACACAACGAAACTTTCCATCATAGAGGCAAAAAGAATGACAAACGATCACATAACTTCATCAATTCCATCGAATATCTTTTCAGCATGTTCTAATGATATTGTACATTAAATTCATTTTTTAAAAAAAACCAAATAATCCACTTCATAGAAGATGTTTGTCTACCAGCATTGTATGATGTACGATGATTCCTCTGAAAAACATTGAGTTCCTTCTATCCATTCTGACGCCATAAATATACCATTTTTAACCAACCCAATAAAGTTAGCCAAATCACTAAATTAAGAAAGCCTACAACCATAAAAATCACGGCATAAATTCCAAGAGATTTACTATAATCCCATGGGTCAAAACAGTAAACTAGGAACACATATAATAAAACATGTACTCACTTTTGAAACTATTACCACAACATTCTCCAATTATTGAAATATAGTCGCATTAATAATATCAAATTTAAAAAACATATATTCAGAATATTTATCAATATCACATATCCTCGTATTCTAAATCCTAACAAATCTAGTAACATGCTTCCAAATAACAAGGACAAGAGATTATTAACCATCACTAAATGACAGAAAGAAAATAATTTCAGAGTAGTAAGTGCTTTTTCCTTTAATGAAAAAAGAAAAAAAAAATTCTGATTAGAAAATCCTTAATTTTTTTTCGACATAATTATTGAAAGAAAAATATAATTCCAATTTATTTCAACTAAAAATTTCTATATAATTTACAAGTGAATAAATTATAAACAAATATAGCAATAATTCCCATAAAAAGATAGCAATAATTCTCATATATTTATCATAACCGCATTTCAATATTTCAAAGGAAAATTGAAAAACATGATTTTACGTCTAATAATTCATGCAAGATAATTTTTGTTATTTAAATTTTATCAATCATATGTTTATCTTGCTCGCCCTTTAAACTCTTGAATAAATTTTAAATAACTGAAAATGAACATTTTTAGTGTAAAATATCAAACCAAACGTAAGAACCGAAGAAAAATANCATTTTGAACTACACATTTCACGTTTCATCAACTTGTCAACTACGCATACTAAAAATTATATTTTTAACTAAACTACAGCGTGTTTGGCTAAACTTAAAATCCAATTAAAATTGAAAATATAGTCGTTATTGGATCTCACTCATCTAATAAAAATCAACAATAACGGTTAGTTTTTTTTAATTTTAATCTGATTTTGCCCTGAATTAAACGTATAAAAAAAAAGCTTAACCAAGCTGAGCCATAAAGTCATTTGGCTCGGCTGACTTTTGAACAGTAACCTGGAAACTCACTCTTTTATGTATGTAGGAAATTCCGATGAAATATGTTCTATATTGTATTGTAATAATCTCCAAACAATATCGTATTCATACAAGATATTCATCTATTTCTATTAAACTTTAGTCAGCAATATAGTCCGTTGAAAAATATATTTTATAATCTCATATACAATTTATATATAATACACTAGAGTAAAATCATATAGTTATATCGATGGTAAATAATAAATCATTGTAGATGTCGATGGTAAATAAAAAAATCATTGTAGATGATGGACATTCAGTACATAAATAATATGCCATGTTAAAATCTTATTAGGAAAACCCTAATTAGGGGGGAAAAATTACATTATTCCTCTGGATACGTCATAAAAGTTGCATCAATAACATTGTTTTAAGAAAAATCAAAAAACATTTGTCAAGAAAAAATAGTACAACATTTATTTACTCCTCACAATAATCTCATTTGAATTATATGCTTCAAATATATTAAATCGTACGTGAATAGTATTAATCGTCATGCCAAATGAGTTGGCTATAACCACATTTATTATATGCATATTAAATTCCATGTATTATTAGAATAACAAAAGATGGATTTATTATTGTATCCACCACAAGATAAGTTATCTATTTATACTAATATTTGTGAAATATATTTTGTTAAGAGTTGTCCATTAAATAATACGACTTCATTTTTATTATTTCCTTTTTGCTTAAATGTACATACATAGGTGTTGGGACAATAAGTTCAGAAACTTAGTAAATTCAAATTTGCTAGAATTATATCCTTCAACGTTTTTCTTTATTATTATTGCTATCATTCATAATATATAGCACTGCATTATGCACAAAATTATTGTCAATATTTTGTTTATTACAATTCAGTTCTTTCCCATTAACCACATTATTGATTGAAATATCTCAATTATCAATACTTCAAGTATATGAAACTCTTACGGCTTTTACAATTTATTATCTTTGTTTATTTACTATTTGCTCCATTTTTCTGAAGAATTTTTATCTTGTAATCGAATGTCATCTCAATTCAGGAATGCCTTAGACTTATCAAATGTAATATTAATATATTGTTTCCATGACATCAATTCGAGTTGAAGCGTTTAAAATTAGTGTGTGAGATATTATTTCTTTCTTTGATCAGCATATGCATAATGCATGATAAAACTTTTGTTTCGAATTGTCTTGTAATAATACATTATGTTTATTATATCCACATTCTTAATTCCTTCTCTAATGCTATATTTCTCATAAAATTTACAATCAGCAAATGATGTAATAAATTATCACAAGTTGGTGCTTTAGATATTTTATAAGAGATCAAACTAAACATATTTAGCAGTTTTACATATATTAGTTCATAAAAATGATTAGATTTGAAATATTAGGCTTTGATAATAATCAACTATAACAATGACAATTTCAATGTTGGATATATGAGTAAAAGTGTTGCTGCATATAAAATAGGATTTTCTAGATAGAAATGGGAAGCATTTGTTCTCAAATTTAATGATTTAGAAACTACTTGGAGGAATTTAACGATTAATTGCATTAAACTATTTATCGTCATTCCAACTAACATTTATCGAAAGTTTGAAATGTAGATTCACTAGTATTGATAAGACTCATTGTCTTAATGGTATAATCTGAAATTTTTCTCCTAATTGAAATTTTGAGCAAGTAATTTCACAAACTTTATATTGAGAATATAAAATGTACCATGCAATCATATAATAAACGTATCTCTTAGATATTAATAATATCTACATGGTAGAAATGGAAGGTCCTAATTAATTTTCAGAAATATAATGAATTCAATCATGATTTTAGCTAGTGAATATCTACTAAACTATATTACCTGATGCAACATGAGGAAATTTATTAAAATAATATCCTGATTCTTTGATTAATTTTTATTAGAATTTTTAATAATATTTGCATCATTATTAATCCAGGATGATCTAACCAATCATATATAAAAATAAAAGTTCAAAAAAATTAAACTTTTGATTTAATATATTATAAGTGCCAATTGTAATTATACTTGTATAATACATATTATGACCGACATGTTTGAAACATATATAGTATGTTGCTTTTTAATATATTGGGAAGCATGTGATCACGACATTAAATTTTGTTCATGAAAAATTATTGACTGTTCTACAGCATTTTATCATATATGCACAAACTAATGCTGTATTGATGTTAATTTCTATTATTCTTTTCTTCTCTTTCAGAGAGTTGTGATAAAATCAAATCGATAGTTGACATAATATAGGTAACGATAGAACAAAAATGTCTATTTTCACTTTCTCACATATCATAATTGGATATTTAAAATCCTTGTAGGAAGTTTAGATACATACTGTGCTTCTACAAGAAAACTGACATACTCTTTAGAGATATTAAAATACTAATTTGTAAGAGTCTAAGCATAATATTTTTTTTCTAAAATACCTTTTTGAACAAAGGTTCTACCTTTTCTTTTCCTTTTTCCTTTTGTGTTGGATTCCACCAGGGGTCTACATGTAGTTCATTTACAATTTTTTCTATTTATTTTTCAAGAAATGCTTTTTCCTTTTTTACGCTACAGTCTAAATTGTCAATAAGTTTTTCTGAAATTTCCATTTGTTTTTTCCTTAGCTAGCGTCCTTGTAGAGTCTTTTCTGAAAACTTTGATGTTTCACTGAGACTTTGTGTGGGCCTTCCCTGATATAGTTGTCCAAGTTGATAATCAATTGTATAGTCATATTCTGGATCTCCCACAATGTGAAATCTTTGAAGATGTGTTTCTTGATAAACTTGAATGTCCTATTGGATCTTTTGAATGTATTCCACTAGTAAAGCTTTCCATGGTGTATTATCTTCATAATTTGACGAA